GTGAGTGACGTGTTCAAACCTCATAAATTTTTTTTTTATATATATATACTTATAAATAATGTTAAAATTATTCAAAAAAAAATTAATTTGATCGAATTTTAATACTCATTGATAACTCAAATATTTACATTTAACTTATGAATTATAAGTGCTTTTCTCGACCTATAAACTGAACCAATTTCCTTCTCCTTCGTACGAAAATTGCCCTTGGTCAAAAAAAAAAAAAAAAAAGTCCCATTTTTCAAGAATGAGATGGTACGAAGTACAACCTGAATTTTGATTCCATTGCCTATTAAAAGAAAAATGAATTTTGATAGGTTAGGACAGGAGTTCTGACCTCGAAAATTCTATAATGTAACGCATCGAACTTTTAAGACAGCAAAGGAGAATTTATTGGAAAAAATACAAGGTTTGCTCAACTCTTAATACCGGAAAGTCCAGAACCAGAACCACCAGGTTTTGTTATTTTTTAAAATGGGTAATTCCAGAACAGCCATGGTTGCATCTCTGTTTTTATATGGGTTTTCTTCCCCTCCCCCCTTTTACCATATTATTTTTCATTTATTTATTTATTTATTTATTGTCTTTTTTTTTTTTAATTGCAAAATCCCCTCTCCACATCTAAGAAGAATAACGGAAATAACGGTCAAGCTCTCAAAATTTCCTCAAGAATGTCATCCCTACTCTTTCTTTCTTTTCCATGTTCTCTCCCCCGATTCAAACCATAATTTTCCATCACCTTCTGGGATTGGGTTCTTGGAGGTTCAAAACTGGTAATTTTTGCTCTAATTCCATCTATTTATATCATACCATTCTCTCTTAATTTAAAACTTGTGCTCAAGCCATGCAATATCCATAAGCATTATGTGAGTCTTTTTCATTGTAAATTCATACACCCAAATATAACAGAAATGATCCTTCTGAATTGTTTGTGTATAGGGCTATTACATGATTTTCTGTGCCTTGTATCTGTTCCTATAGACATTTTGACAATGTTAGATAATCTTGTATGACAAAAACTTAATCGGGTTTTTTTTTTTTTTAAAAAAAAAAAATGGGACTTTGAATTTTGTGTTCAGAAATCCACTGATTAGTTTTGACAATATGAATCATATTCATGATGGACATTCGTTCACCATCAACTTTTGGGGCAGAAACCGGATAGTATGAATGTAATGTGAGGAAAAAGTTGAAAGCTTTAACCTTGGTGACGTGTGGTTGCTTGAGTTTTGTTTTTATTATGTGATTAACTTACTTTTCTGGACCTGATTGTCCTACAACAATGCATCTTTGGTCAGAGAGCATAGGGCTCAATCCGATTTCAATAAATCTCAAGCATCCCCACCTTCATCATTATTGTAACCTCCATTGTAGAACTGCTTTCTCTTTCACTTATTTGGATCATTCTAACCCCTTTCTGTATGTGTGTCTTCTCTCTGTCCTCACTTTTCATTCCTAAATATGTCACAGGAGGTGATATATTGTCGTTTTCCCTTAGCAAACTGGGATTCAATGTTGGTATCTACATAATTGATCCTACAAAATGTTTGATTGTGGATACAAATCTCAGTATATTGGTGGCCAGAGAGAGAAGTTTGTAAGGTATGAAATGTACATTATACAGCTTTCTGTTTGCACCATCCAATACATTTTTCTCTTCTATTCTCTTCCTGGTAATTGTGACTGTTTTACTATGGGGATCTGTTTAGAGTTCTAATCCATATGAACACGATTCTTATCTCCTTATGGGCATTAGGATTTGCAAGAAACTTCCACATTCCTTCTTTATTCACACGTAATGAATATTTGTTATGTTTGGAGTATTTGATTTTAGGAATAGGAAAGAATGGAAAACAGAAAAGAATAAAGCTAGCTGTTCAATGTCTCATATATGTAGTGTAACTAGCTATAAATCTTTAATCTGACAAATATATCAGTGAATCATAATCTGTTCCTCGAAATAAATTATATTTAAATGAGTTGAAAGGCGATCCAGAAGAAATTCTAAAAGGAATGGTTTTTCTAGCTATTGATGCTACAAAATATATATATTTCCATGTGAAAAGAGCTTTGGAATGGACATAGCCTCTTGGATAGACTAACTATTTGTCTTTTTTATTTGAGCTTATGGAAAGTAAGAAATAATGTAATCAAGGTTGGTGGCTGTATCTTTTTCTTTCCTGATCAATTCCTGATTATTTTTGCAAATGTTGGGAATTTAGGTTGGACGATTTGGACTCTACATCATCAATGACATCCTACACAGGTGGGAAAAATAGATGCAGATTTAGTTTAGAAGGTTTGCCTTTTCCTGGACATGGAAAGAAGAATACATCAAAATCCTTTAGGATGGGGATGAAAAAGGGATCAGATGGATTGTTAACATTTGGTCGCTCAATTAGGTCCAATGTCACTCGTGCTATGTTCCCAGAGGATCTTAACGTGTCAGATAAAAAGATATTTGACCCTCAGGATAGATCTCTCTTACTATGGAATAGGCTGTTTGTCATAATATGTATCCTTTCAGTGTCTGTGGATCCATTGTTTTTCTATCTCCCAATACTTGATGAGAAATCCATGTGCATTGGAATGGATATAAAGTTGGCAGTCACGACAACAACTCTTCGAACTGTTATTGATGCTTTCTACCTTATCCGTATGGGTCTTCAATTCCGGACAGCATATATTGCACCATCATCACGAGTTTTTGGGCGGGGTGAACTTGTTATAGATCCCGCACAGATAGCTGCAAGATATTTACATCGTTACTTTATTGTTGATTTTCTGTCTGTTCTCCCTGTGCCACAGGTTTGAGAAACTGTTTGCTCTACATAATTCTGCAGAGAGGAGATAATGGTTCTTTGTTTTCCTTATTAGCTTTTCAATTTGTGCAGTTTGTTGTGTGGCGCTTTCTTCAGAAATCAACAGGTTCAGAGGTACTGGCTATAAAGCAGGCCCTGCTGTTCATCGTGTTTATTCAATACATTCCAAGGTTTGTTCGCTTCATACCATTAACTTCAGAGCTGAAAAAGGCTGCAGGTGTTTTTGCTGATGGTGCTTGGGCTGGTGCAGCTTACTATCTGCTTTGGTACTTGCTTGCTAGTCATGTAAGTTGTTCACCAATGATATGTGTGTGCTATTAATATATATGTGCTTCTTTTTAAATGCTAGGCCACCTCAAACAGGAAGAAGAAGAAGAAGGGGAAAACAAAGAAAAAGGATTAGGCATTCAAATAAAGTTTTATTAAAATTCATGGGCTCCATTAAAAACATGTCCTATTAGAAACACTCATGCTTCCTTGTATATTACATGAATGAGGAAATTAATTGGAACATAATATGCTCAATTAATTTTTAGATCTAGTACACTTCCTTGTTTCAAATCCCAACTTAACGACATGCAGTTCTTCCGAAACAGTTGATTGGATTAACCTGACCACTTTTAGATGAAATTCACAGGTAGCTGGAGCCTTTTGGTACTTGTTGGCTGTGGAGCGTAATGACACATGTTGGCACAAAGCTTGTGTCGAAAGTGGGAAGTGTGACGTGCATTTCTTGTACTGTGGCAATAAGCATCTTCAGGGTTATCCAGACTGGCAAAGCATTAGTGGAGACGTTATTGGTAGTAATTGTTCTGTAAAAGATGATGATCCACCATTTGATTATGGAATCTACACACAAGCCGTAGCATCTGGCATCTTTTCGTCAGAATATTTTTTCTCTAAATTCTGTTTCTGTCTGTGGTGGGGCTTGCAAAATCTAAGGTATGCAGTTTTTCTTTATGAATTTTATGTGATGCAAGCAAACAAATTTGGTAATTCACTATTTCATGTTTTACAAACCTTGAAATCTAATTCCCTCTCTGCTTGTACTCTTTATTTTCACTTTAAATGCCTAATTTTGATTTTCTTTTCAAGCTATCTAGGTAGGACTATAATATCAGAGCTCAGCATAGAATGAAAGGAAGAAAATTTTTTTTCATCAGCCAAAAGAAAAAGTTTTTTTTGTTAAGGAGAGTACAAGCAGTACTCTAGTATGTATTAATTACACTGATATATACAACTCATAAACTACACCACTCAGGATAAGAACTAAAAACAAATTTGAGGATTAAGACAACAACCACTGTGAGCAAAGGCTGTGCCTGAAGGTTTGCCTTTTAACCAAATAAAAGATTAGAACTGAATGAGTTCAGCCATTCTAGTTTCATTCCACTGCATGTTCTTAAAAATGATATTGCTCCTATAAAACCAGATTGTCCAAGCTATCCTCTTTTTTTCTTTTTTTCTTTTTTTCTTTTTTATTTATTTATAAATTTATTTTCCTTGAGTTCTATTTATTTGAAAATAAATAAATAAATAAATAAAAAGAAGAAGTTAATAATCTTTTTTCCTTAGAGAGCATAACATTATTTGGATCATTGGGTGCATAGGCAATGTTGACAAGAACTATTTTGTACACGCATGATTGCCTCCTAATGAAGTTTATGCTTAACAATGAAACTCTGAAAAGAATTGGGTACGGTTTACTGCTAGGCTGAGATATTCTGCTTAAAAGCTTTCCTCAGATATCTGCACATATGCAATCACACATGGATTTAATGTGGTTTCTTATTGCAGCATGTAGATGTAGTTGTTATTTACTCCTTACCTATCGCCTACCTTCTTATGACTTAGCCTAGTACAGTCTTCTCCCTTTTTTTTTTCTTAATATCCTTTGAGCACTTTGAATTACCTACTTAAAAAAAAAAAAATTCTTTAGGGCTCTTGAAACAGTATTTACTAATGAATGTTGGCATTTATTTTCCACACAGCACCCTTGGTCAGGGGCTCCAAACCAGTACCTATCCTGGAGAAGTTCTCTTTTCCATATCAATAGCTATTTTTGGGCTTCTTCTCTTTGCACTTTTGATAGGAAACATGCAGGTAACTGAAACCTTACTTTATGAGATGGTCATTACTGATACCTTTATTTTCTTTCCTTTTTTTTTAATTCAAAAAAATCAAGGAATTGGTTAATGAGATGTGTCTATTACATGGTTGTTACCTGTGAAAAAGCATAATAGAGGGAAGCATGGCAAAATGGGAATGACTAATTCCTAGTTTCTTTTAGTATTATTAGCTATTGAAACCTTATTCAGTTATTGTCATCCATAAAAAACATAGGCAACACTATCAACTAATTTATTCTATCATCACCATATTCCATTTCATTTTCATGAACTAACTTATAAAAGCCATTCCATGGGCCAAACATGATGGCATGGGTAGGCCATTCTTTGATTGTAGACTAAGAAGTTCAAAGCAATGAATTGCTTTTATTAATTGTATCAGGTGTACCCTATGTCAATGCGAATTACAGAATTTAAACAAATGTACTTCAGGTGACATTTTTAGGTGATGCAACTGAAGTTTCAGGCATTGACAAGTTATGTCTTGTTTCAAATCCGTGTTCCACGAAGTTATACATCTTGTGCTTAACCATTTGTATATCTCCAATTCGTAGTTGATTGCGTGTCTCACATATTCTTCTTGTGTTAATTTCATATGAAATTCTCTCACTGGCCATGACATGCCAGGTGTTCTATTTCATAATGCATGCTATTTCACTATGAGTAAATTTCTAATGAAAATTATGCTTTTTCCTGGAATAAATTGATTCTAAGGGCCGAAATTTGTGATATCTTGTGATTGCACAGACCTATCTCCAGTCTCTTACAGTTCGTCTTGAGGAAATGAGGATCAAACGACGTGACTCTGAGCAGTGGATGCACCACCGATCCCTTCCACCGGAACTAAGGGAACGGGTTAGGAAATATGACCAGTACAAATGGTTGGAGACCCGAGGTGTGGATGAAGAGAGCTTGGTCCAGAGTTTACCAAAAGATCTAAGGAGGGATATTAAACGCCATCTCTGTTTGAATTTGGTGCGAAGGGTAAGTTGTTTTATATCCCTTTAACTTGCCTTCTGTAGGCCACAGTTTTACATGCATCTCTTCAAGGAAAAACTTTTAGTTTTAATTAAGTTTTAACCATGTTTTAATGGACTGTAAGCGTTACTCTTAAGCCTTGTCTGGAGATATATGCAGGTACCTTTGTTTGCAAATATGGATGAGCGGTTGCTGGATGCAATATGCGAGCGACTCAAACCAAGTCTATACACTGAGAAAACTTACTTAGTCCGGGAAGGTGACCCAGTGAATGAGATGCTTTTCATTATACGTGGCCGCCTGGAGAGTGTGTCCACAGACGGTGGGAGGAGTGGGTTTTTTGACAAAGTGACTCTGAAAGAAGGTGACTTTTGTGGGGAGGAGCTGTTGACTTGGGCACTTGATCCCAAAGCTGGTTCTAACTTACCATCTTCCACTAGAACAGTGAAGGCTTTACAAGAGGTAGAGACTTTTGCCTTGGAAGCTGAAGAGTTGAAGTTTGTTGCCAGTCAATTCAGGCGACTTCATAGTAGACAGGTTCAGCACACATTCCGTTTCTACTCACAGCAATGGAGGACTTGGGCTGCATGCTTTATTCAAGCAGCATGGCGCCGGTACTCGAGGAGGAAAAATGCAGAGCTACGTCGCAAAGAGGAAGAGGAAGAACTGGACTTCTATGAAGAATCTGAAGGTGACGATGAAGATTATGATGATGGAAGGGCCTTAGTCGGACCAATCAACAGAAGTGCAAGCACTTCATCCAGTTTTGGTGCAACCATATTTGTTTCAAGGTTTGCAGCTAATCTTCGTGGGCATAAGCTACGTGGGGGCAGTTCCAAGGGCTTGAAGAAGCTGCAGAAGCCACCAGAGCCTGACTTCAATATTGATACTGATGATTAACTAAACTAGAGCTCTTGAATGCATTCATGACAATAATTGCATTCCAAAATTCCAATTCTGATAAAATCATGTAAATAAATAAATGTATTTTTAGTCATCTTCTTTATTTCGTTCAATTGAGTCTTTTAATATTGATTCCATTGAATACAAGTTGTAAAACTGAAGTTTAATTTTTTAGTTCCCTACTGAGGTTGTAATAGAAAGCTTCAAACTCCAAATTAATGGTATTGACTTGGAATTGAGACAAGTAGTAGAAAGAATGATGTTGGAGATCATTACCTCCATTATATTGCTATAATTATAACTGTAACATGGAATTATAATCTTATAATTATAATGTAATAGTAAATAAATATAACATATATTTAATGAGTAAATATATAAAATATTATAAACAAATTTTTAACTAAAGAATTATATTATAAAATTATAATATCATATAATATTATAAATATGATGTTTTCATTATTTTTAATGTATAGGATCTCTCTTTAAATACACCAGACCTTATAAATTAATTAGTTGGTTTATCTAATATCTGATTGAAATGGGTTTTTGATGTCATGTGCAAAGTCTTCAGCTTCATGGTTAAACCAAGAATGGATGATGCTTCAGTTGATTTTTTTTTTTTTTTTCTGGATCACACCCGGAATCATGGCTTCAATTCATTTATTATTATTATTATTAATTATTATTATTATTATTAATGGTAACATTAGAGATTTTGTTGGATTGCAATATGTTAATTTCTTTCTTATACACATGCTATATGAAAGATTAGTGAGTGAAGTTGTAACGTGTGTGAACCGATATGTTGATTAATGTTTGAGTTGAGACTATCAACAGAACGTGATATGCATGTTATGTGACTGCTAAGATATACTGCATGCTGTGCTGTTTGTGTTAGAGGCTAAGGAGGGTTTGGACCTGATCCTATGGTTTGGGGTTTTCACTGGACGCTTTTTAGAGTATATATGGGCTTCATATGGGGGATTTAACCGGTCCTCTTTGCAGTAGGATAATAAGTGCTGAGACTCGCTGCAATAAAACGTAAGTGTATGTACATTTCTGGTACTCCATAGCCTGTTTGTTGATTCTGTTATGGTTTATGCTCTATTTTAACTATGACTATGCCTAGTTCTGTTATGAAATGTTCCACATGCCATGAATATGGTGTGAAGGCCTATCTACTGCCTAATTCTATTATGAATTAGATCTGTTTGCTAAGTATGTTATGAAATTACCTATGATATGCGTTGTTCTGTTTCAGAGGTGCTTTAGAATGCCATATGTCTTTTATATTACTAAAACAGAATCTGTCTTCTGTATTTAGCATGACAGGTAGGTTCATGGATGTTATGGAGTTGTTCTAAACTGTATTTGCATAAGTAGCCTGTTTATGTTTAATTGAATATCTTTTTAAAACCTGTTTTATGATGAGGCTTGCTTTGTCAAGTTATAAATCTCTCAATTGTTTCCTTAAGGAATTCATTACATGAATTGACTGTTTTTAAACTCATGTTCCCTGGGCGTATGATTATACAAGTTCTTAAATAATGTTTTAAGTATCTCTGGCATGAACTTTCTTTCAAGCCATCACAAATTCTTTTATGGGTGTTGATTCAATACTTATCCATAAAAGCTTCCTGATTTCTGCTGCATTAGTTTCAATACCTTCTGATTTTAAATCTCTAATTCTGTGTTCAACAGTTCAAGGGCATGCATTCAAATTACAAAGTGTTTTAAGTTAGGTCCCATGAGTTGGTGTTCATGAAGAATTCAGGGTATGGGGTGTGACAATAGATTAATGAAAGAGAGAAGGTAGTGAATGTTGTTGGGTTTGAATTTAGGGCATCAAAATGTCAAACATGTCATGGACCATGGGATCAATACTGCTATAGGATCCAAGTTTAAGAAAATTGTCATTTTTCATACAGCCAAAGGATGTCTAACTCTAAGGCCAAGAAGGTGAATTCTACTCTGGCACCAGTAGCCAACGATGTGATGGAGAAGACGATTGAGAGTCCGACCGCTGCTATAACTAAATCTCGGTAGCAACAGGAAGCTGAAGCCAAGCGCCAAACCATTCTCCAGTTCATGGAGCTAGACCCACCTGCTTTCAACGGCAGTCCTGACCCCATTAGAAGCCAAGAATTGGATTAGAGAGATAGAAAAGCGATTCGACGTCCTTAATTGTACTGATGAGCAGAGAGTCACGTATGCTACCTTTCTGCTGAAGGGTAATGCTGATTACTGGTGGGATTCCACCAAAACAGGTTTCAATGTGCCCCTGACTTGGGCTATGTTTAAAGATGCCTTCTTGACACACTACTTCCCAAAATTTTATCAGCATCGAAAGGAAGAGGAGTTCCTGAAGTTAGAGCAGTGCAACATGACTGTGGATGAGTATGCTGTTAAAGTTATTGGGTTATCTCGTTTTTGCTCCTTATATAGCGTATGATAAAGCTGCCAGGGTCAGGTTTTTTCTGAGGGGCTTGAAACCCAGTATTATAGACAACTCGCAGTTCTTGAATTGACTGAATACCACGATTTGGTTAACAGAGCTTGCCCTGTGGAATGCTATAGTGAAGAGCTTCAACAGGGTTGAGAGCAGAAGCGACGGGAGTTTAATGGACCTGAAATTCTAAGGGCTTAAATGATGCGAGAAGCTCCAAGGATGATTTAATACTAGGATCCAATGTAATCAATAAGCTGTTTTGCATTTGGACTCAATTGCCTATACTTCATCCCGCACCAATTAAATAAGGTCCTTGCAATTTAGTTTTTGTTGGCTTGTAGTTTGTTGATGCTTGAGGAGAATTTGGGTGCACTGATGTAAATAGATTTCTAAATTCAATAGTTTGAAGTCTGAATATTCTCTTTTTAAGTATAAGCTAGCATGAATGTGAAAAGTAATTTTACAAGTGAATTTTGCATTTTTTTTCATTTTTTGGCTGCATCTGTACCGTATATTTATGACAGATTTTTTGCTACAACTGTCTACCATGAGTCGGTTATACAGCAAGAATAGCCCCATAGCGCTTCCCTTTCTCAAACTTCTGTTGC